CCTGATAGACAAAGAAGCTTCCTAGAGTTCTGGGAAAGGGTTTTGTTTGAGTTGTTGCACACACAGATTGTTCTGTGACTAGTTTTGGGAACCGTGGGCCACCTTAGTTACGTTAAGGAATTCTGGCATTGCCTAATTTCCCTGGGTTTCTTGGAAGCTTTGTTTTGTGATGACTGTCCCTGGAAGTTATGATAACTGCCTGGTTCTCACACAAGCAACTTGGTTTCTTTTTCTTTTCCTTAGCAGTCCTAAGAACTTTTCTGTTTCTCTGGGGTGTATATCAGAATTGCTCTTTGCAGATAGCCTGTTCTTCAGAGAACTAGTTATCCTCTAATTTGTAGAATAAGTTCTTACATTGTATTTTTTCATATTTTTTATTTAACTTTTTACACATGTCACTCTCAGTTCCCTCTCCTTCCCCCCCTCCCCCACCCCCCAATCCTCCCAACCCCTCACCCCACTCATCCCCCCCTCTGCTCCCCAGGGAGGGCAAGGGCTTCCATGAGGGATTTTCAAAGTCTATCACATCCATCCGGGGAAAGGCCTAGGTTCTTCCCCGTGTGTCCAGGCTGAGAGAGCATCCCTCCATGTGGTATGGGTTCCCAGAGTCCCTCTGTCTGCTCTACTCTCCAAGGTCTCACAGATTGCCAAGGCCTCCTCTTTGTCACCCAGGTTCGGTGGGAGGGATGTCTGGATCAGTCCCATGCTGGCCCCTCTGTCATCAGTCTGGGGTCCATGTGTTCCCCCTTGTTTAAGTCAGCTGTCCCAGTGGGTTTCACCAGCCTGATCTTGATTCCTTTGGTCATTACCTTACATTATATTTTAAAACATTATCTTGTAGGTTATTTTGCTTCTTAGGAAACTCTATTAAGGTGTATGCTGGCCTTTTCTTTGTCTTCTGGTTATGTCAGTTTTTCCTGCTGATTTGTTCTGCTTTCCTGGTCTTACTTTAATTTTCTTTGTTCTTTTCCTGTTTTGATATCTGTCCTAATTAAGGTTTTGATTGCTATGAAGAGACATCAAGACCATGGCAACTCTTACAAAGAAAACATTTAACTGGGGCTCACTTACAGTTTCAGATGTTCAGTCCATCATCATGATGGAAAGTGTGGCAGCATGCACCCAGATGTGTTGCTGGAGCTGAGAGCACTGCATCTTGCAGGCGACAGGAAGTTGACTGAATTATCGGAAACACAGGGATTCTCAAAGCCCACCCCCTCAGTGACTCACTTCCTCCAACAAGGCCACACCCACTCCAGCAAAGTCACACCTCCTAATGCCACACCCTATGAGATTATGGGGGCCAAGTAACATTCAAACTACCGAAATGTGTTTTACCAAATTTCCACTTATTTCTCCTGTCTCTTGGTTCCTTAAAATTTATTCCATAATTTATGTCTGAAATCAGTCACTGTAGACCAAAAAGATTATCAATATCAAGTAGAAAACAGGCATTAGTGGGTAAATCCACCTAAATGTATCTCCCTAGGTTCTGGACTAGCTGGTTAGGGCACCGAGATTATAGACATGGTCTCCGTTCTTAGGGAGACAGATCAATGTGTTAACAGTCAGAGATGCAGCAATTTGAAAGTGTACAGAGCATGGTGTACAGAGATGGAAGCCAGGTTAAATCTAGATGCAGGGCTGTGAAAGGCTTTTAGATAAGTCACATAGCAAGTGGTGTAAAGAGATGCCTTTTTCTTGTCTCTTGCTTTGGTTTTTTTCCCCACCAGTTGCCTGGGCTCTGCCAAGTTGTAGTCCCCAAATAACACACAAGACACTGTATTAATTATGAATCTGTTGGCCTTGCTTGTTTCTTACTGGCTAGCTCTGCCTTAAGTATTTACCCCATAACTGTTAATCTAAGTATTTCTCTTACCGGAGAAAAGTTTCCAGGCTTCTTACCCCTATGGCGGTTACATCTTGACTCCCTGTGTTTCTCCTACCCAGAGTCCTCCTCGACTCCTAGTCCCACATATTTTGCTTCCCTATTGGCCAACAGTGATTTATTGACATATACACAGGACTTCCCCCATCAAAGTGGTAACAGAGTGAGACTGCACATGACTGTGATGCGTGCTGTTCCCAACCCCGCTGATGACTGTGGACAGGAGGCCCAGGAGACCTGCTCGCCATCAATCCACCTCTGCAGGTTTCAAACACACCCTCTCCTCCTCGTCTGTGGGCTGACCTTTGTGCTCCAGCATCTTCTCTGACTTTTAGTGTTTCCCGTGATAATCTCAATACTCAAGGCGGGGGAAATATCTCTAGACTTCTAAAGCCAACTAAGAGTCCACCTGGCTTTAAAGGACTCTAAATCTGCTTGAAAAGGTGACAAGCGGAGTTGCAGAGTTGCATAGCGAGCTCGGTGGTTAAGTGCTTGCTGTGCAAGCGTGGGGCCCTGAGTTCATAAACACCAGGCATGGCAGCACATCCCTGTAGCAATAGCACTGGAGGATGAAGACAGGCAGATCCTGGGAGCTCAGTGACCCAGCCATTCAAGCAAAACACTCATTTCCAGATTCCGTTAGAGCCCCTATCTCAAAATGTAAGGTAGAAACGCTATTGAGGAAGCAACTCCATGTCAGCCTCTGGTCTCTATACATGCCTTCTGGGGTGAGAACACCCATCTCTTCATACACACACACACACACACACACACACACACACAGTCTTGCAGGAATGCAAGTAAACATTGACTATAATGGGTTCTGCATGATGAGGCTGGCCTTGAAGGCAACGCATCTATTCTGAGCTGTGATCCTGCTACCCAGAGGCATTAACATATCACCCCACACTCCCGGAATGAGGCCTCTGCAAGCAGTCAGCAACTGCAACTGATATTGGATCAAATAGTGAAACAGTCTTTGTGCCTTAGTTCCTTGACCTAAGCTAACCATTATCTGTTCTCCAAAGAAAGGGTGAGCAGGTGACAGGATACTCAGAATCGGAGCCAGGAACAGGTACGTAATAGCCCCTTAGTGGCTACGTGTTAGTAAGTGATAAGGCTAAATTCTGAGACATCTGGATGAGGTATTCCCCTGAAGAACTGGTGTTCTATTGAAAAGCAGGTTTTGTAGTTGACTCCTAGCCTTTAAAAAAAACAATCCTGCAGTTTTGAGGACTTGTATTGATAGTGCTATTCTGCAGGTAGGAACACTGAGAACCGGAGAAATGTTTCCACCAGGGTGAAAGACACCAGCAGACTATAAGCCTCATTCTATTCCACTGGGCATACGTCTTCTTGCCAAAGAGAGACCATGTATTTGGAAGGAGTTGGCTCCACAGCCCATTTCAAACCACCGCTTGTTAGATGTGTCAAAGTGGGGAAGCTGTAGGTTTTACAGATAGATATTTTTATAGATGGGCATACAGTTTCTTCTTATCCCTTTCTACTCTGTGGTAAGCCAATATGCGCAGCACACATTTGGAAGAGTGTCACTTTCCCCACGGTTACCTGGTGGCCTCGCTAGCACATGCCAAGATCCTAAGGATAAGCTATATCCTTGCCACATGCTCTGACAGTTTGCTGACTTGTTTTAGTGACCAGTATTTGATTTTTTAATCTGTTGTGACTTTGACTATGTGTCTATGTGAACCACTTCTCCTGGTTAAAGCTGACGACACCAGTGTGCATTGCAGTAAATGCCAGTCATAAGGAAACATCGGCACATTTTGCATACAAAAAAAATTCCATGGCAAACTAAGGACATGACAGGCAAAGTTAAAGGAAAAAAATGGATGAAAGGAAAGAAATTTGCAGCAAAAGGGCACTTTATTACAATTATATAAAAAATGATTCATAGGGCTAGAGCAGTGTCTCAATGGTTCAGAGCACTGGCTGCTTTTGCAGAGGACCTGGCCTCCGTTACCCGAACCCACACTGCAGCTCATGACCACCTGTAACTCCAGTGCCAGGGGATTTGGCTTCTCTTCTGGCTTCTGTGGGTAATGCATACACGTGGTGCACATACACACATTCAGAGAAACACTCTTACACATAAAACAAACAATTCTTACAAAGAAAAACCTTCATAAGCGAATTCATGAAAGCCAGTCATACAAATCCAAACACGACTGTAGAAATATGCCATGCTGTGAATCTGCAGTCCCCAGAAGAAATACAAATGGCATACACATATAAATATATACTTGCATGTGCTCAAATATAGATGCATAGCGTGCTAAAATAAAAATTAAGAGTAAATGACAATAGCATGACTTACTGTACAGTATTAGATCACTAAAAGGAAGGATGGCAGCCTATCAACCCTCACACATGCCACAAGTGAAAATATAAATTGTTACAGGTCCCAGAGCGGGAACTGAGGCAGTGACGGCGAGGGCTAAGCCCAGGGCTCAAGGCAGCTTAAGCCACTTCCACGGGGACTGTAAGCTTCCAGCTCTGTCTCAGCTCAAGTGGCCTGGAGATCTGCGATGTAACCCTCACCGTAAAGGAGCAGAGGTTAACAAAGCCAGCACACGGGAATCCGATCAAAGCTCGTTTTCCCTTGCACTGAGCGGGCAATAGCGGACAGGCATGATACTGACATAAGGGTGAGTTTCTCGGAGTCCCACACGTGATCAAAAGCCACTTAAATTTGAAGACTCATCTTAGACTTGGGGGCCAGCGCTTTGCAGCCTGTCAGTGGTAATGCATGTGAGTGACTTTGCACCGCTGGAAAGAACTGAGAGAAGGGCACACGGGAAGGTAGCAGGCTAGTTCTTCCTCGGAGACCAGGGCTGTGGTCTCCAATCCTCCCCCCTACCGGGGAGTGGGGAAGAGCTGAACCCCACAATTCAACCCTATTTCAAAAGCAAAAGCGTTTACAGAGCTAGGCCAGGCGCCACCCAGTGGGTGGCGTCAAGATGACTAATCACTAATTACATACTAGGAGTGACAGCAAAAGCGGGAGAGCCTGGGCATCCAGCTGTCAGGCGAAAGGGCAGAGGGCAGGAGGGAGTGGCTGGTGACAGGTGCAGTTGGGGGGTGGGGGACACTGGCAGCGCCCGCAAGGCCAGGAGGCGGTTGTGGGATCCCCGGGCACAGTCTGGAGGCTCTTCAAGGCAGGCGCCGCCTTCTCTTGGTTCCCAAATAGCAATGGTCCCGGACCCTGCCTCCAGCCCTGCCCCAGCCAAGACTCTCCAGGGCTCTGTCTGTCTTCTCCGGAGTGAGCCAGCCAGACCCGCAACAGCTGCTCAGGCCACGTGAGACCCACAAGGTTTCACAATAGGGGATGAGGATTTCTATGCAGGAATTCACAGGATGCGCGGTTTGTACACGACTCTGGGTTGGGAATGTAAAACACCCCGGACTGATAAATGATTTTGTGAATTGATTTTTCAGACAAGTCATGGCTTCCCAGACTCTATCTGACATCACCCCTACTTATGTTCTGAAGAAGCTGGAGCTGTGAACGTCACACCCCTGGTCACCAGGGCGCTAGCCTGCATTTTGCTACCTCTTCAGTACAAGTGGTTTGATTTTGTGCTTCCCTGGGCAGTTTTCTGTGACTGAGAATCCCTGACCTAAGAGCAAACAAAACACACCAGCCAACCAGCAGTATCGTGAAAAACAATGGTTACAGAGGCAGACACCTGGGTTTTCAAAAGTGGATTTAAATTCCGACAGTCTCCATGTGACCAGCCCTTTAAAATATGAAATGCTCTAAAATGGAAAGGCAACCATGTGTTGAAGGTATGGAACAACAGAGAAAATCTACCTCACCCTATTTCTGAGACATAAGCTTTCCACGTGGGCCCTGAGATCCTTCTAGAAATGATGCGGTTTGGGCATTGCAGCTTGCTCGTGGGTGTTGGCTGCAGAAATGAAGGCAGGCTTGCAAAAGGTGAGGCTTCCGCCGCAGTGAGGCCTCCCAGCAAGGACCTGAATGAAACGTTAGACAGGCAGTGTCTGCAGGTAAGAGGCTCACTGACAAACAGCTGTAAACACAATGGCCTCCGGGAGGCTTCGTCCCGGACCACTGGGGCTGAAACCCAACAAGAAAGGCAAGGAGTTGTTGGAAATGGTGTTGGTGCCAGAGGAGGATCAAGACTGTGAAAGGTTTTCTAGCCTCCTGGACATGATTTTGTTTTTCACTGAATGTCTTGAGACCCCAGGGCAAAGGAATAAATGAGACCTTTGGAGGCTGGGGCTATTGCTCAAATTGAGGCTGTTGGCAAAGGGCTTGCCTAGCTTGTATGAGGCTATGGGCACAGCGGTGCATGCCTGTAATCTCAGAACTCCGGGAGGTCGAAGCAGGAGGCTGCAAGTTCAAGGTAGTGCCGAAATGTGAGCTTGAGGCCAGACCCTACCTGAAAAAAAATAGATAAGTAAGTAGGTAGATAATAAGATTTAAACATATTGAAAACCACGCCGGTCCGTGCGGGAGCAAAATCAGAATCTCAGTAGCAGGAGGGCTAGGTGTTGAGACTAGCCACAGAGAGGGTGACTTAGCTCAGGGAGGTCACAGCAGGGAGGGAGGGAGGTGGCAGGACTAGCCAGTGAGTGCTTTGAAGTGAAAAGACAGGAATTGGCAGCCAGTCACATGGAGAATGAGACAGCCAGCCAAGCATGGCCCAGTGTTTTCTGGCTTGGAAACAATGGGCTTGCCTTTGGAGCTTGGTAGAAAGGGTAAAGATTGAACATATAATGAAGGGGTCAGCTTTGGCTCTCTCTCAAAAGGCCTCTCTTTAACTCTGTGTCTTCCTACACCGTATTTTACTAAGCCATAAACCCCGTGATCACCTTATCCTTTAAGTGAATGTGGATCTTCTGATTGCTGTGAACAGAAAAGGTTTTGTTTTGTTTTTGAACAGGACTTTCAATGGGGTGATTCCTTTTTTTGTGTCGTGTATGAGACATCAGATAGTGAGAGCCACATTTTCCAAGCAGGCTCTCAACTGCTAACAAGATAGCACACCTCAGAGCCCCTTCAGGCAAGAGATCTCTGCACCCATAAGAGGGTCAATCAGGCTAAAGCCAGAGGCCCTGAGCACAAAGAGGGAGCCCCGCAGACATCTTCGCCTGCTCCACATCCAGAAATGGGCTTGTTGAAACGGCCAGTAAGAACGTGTGCGGGGTGGAAGGAACTTTGCACGATACAAACAGAGGCGCACACACATCGTTGCAGAAAGCCGATGTGTGTCTCCACGTGGTGGGCTGTCACCCGCTTCTGTGTTCTGGAGCTACGGCCGTGGTTCAGCGGGAGAGCACCTGCCTAGCATGTGGGAAGTCCTAGTGTCGATTCTCACACGATAACAAACAAACAGGAGCATCTTCTGCGTCTAAAGAGAGAATCCGATGGGCTGGTGCCTCCAGGGCTGTGGGTTTGACAGACCCTTGTGCGCCTCAGCTCTGTCATTCCTCAGGCAATGACACCCGCTTTTTATAAATCGACAGAAAAGAGACCAAGGCCAGCATCCTGTTCAGGATTCTGTATGTAAGGAGACAATGAATGGCCGGTTTAATGCTACGATCACCCACATCACGGGTGCTGGCTTTCAGGCCTGCCAGGGTTACCCCCATCATTCTTTCCTCTTTTGCAGCTCCTCCTCCTTTCTCCTCTCACACCCAGGATTAGTGGTTATCATCAAAGGGTTTGACTTCTGCCTGGAGCATGCAGGAAGTGGCCCAGCAGCTGCTAGACCATGGGGCAGCCCTCCTTGCTCCCATTGGCTTCAGACAGGAACAGCAATGACACCATCACCACCATTAATAATAGAAGCTGACGCATACAGTGTTTCTGTGCGCTTGGCCCACAGCCTTGCCAGGCAGCTCCTACTAATTCTGTTTTAAGTGACCAGGACATTGAAGCATAAGGATCTAAGTAAACCTGTGTGGCTACCCACTAGTAAATCATGTAGGCTGAGCTTCAGCTTGGCTTTGTGGGACTCTAGACTGTGGGCTTCCTGTCCAACCCGTTAAAATTCTCACTTAAATGATTTTACTTTTTTTCAGTCCGAAGAGAAGGCAAAGGAGCTAACTACAGAAGGTTGGTAACACTTCCGAATGACTGGCAAAGGGACAGCCATGTGCAGAATTTGAGTTACCTTGATGAAACCACAATGGAGACTAACGTCTGTTGGGGCGAGTATAAATGAACCCCTGGAAGATATTTGCTCAACAGAGAAAACCTCCATAAAGGGTGTACTTGTGGATGCGTAGCTGCAGGGAAAAGACATTCAGGAGAAGGCAGCAGCTACAGTGCTGTAGTTGGTAAATTAGCAAGATCATTTTTGAGACTGTAGCGGGCCTCTGTCTTCCAGCCATGACATGGCTACTCCTGTCTTTAATCAGAGCAATATGAAGGAGATACTCTGCGATCGTGGCTATTGCATGCCCCGAGAGTCAAGAGGTCATCAGACGCTCATCGAAGGTTCCAGCCACCACTCCCTCCCAGCTTCATGTGCTCCTGCGGGAAGATACAGAGTTGGCTGGGGTATGATGCTACAGAGATCTGGGTTTCCTGAGCCATCTCCCATGCCAGGGTGGGGCTTTTCTCTCATGTAGTTCTTCAGAGCAACCCAAACCCCTCTAAGTGATCCAATTAAACTCATTAGCTCACCAAGCTGGACTGGGGTGGCATTGGGTTTTGTGACCTGTTGGGGGCCCCGTCTCAGGAGACTAGATACTTCTTTACACTTCCCCAGGAGAAGTAATCCAACGGGGATTAATTTAAAAAAATGAATCACACTTATTTGTTGAATTTTCTCCCCCTAGAATGCCATGGCACACATGCAGACGTCAAGGGACAACTTGTAGGTATTAATTTTTTTCCCTCCACTGAGTCCTGGAGATTGAACTCTGGTTACCAGTTCAATCACTGGCCCTGAGACCATTCTTCAGATGTTGTCATGCTATGGGTGATCAAGTGTCTCTACAACATACCCATTGGTCCCACTGCCCTAGGCAAGTTATAGGAGTGAACAAAGCAGGGTATGCTATTATCTGCCACAGTTTTAGATTTAAAATTGATCAGCTTACAGGCCACTTTCCCCAGTCCTTTGAAAACAACATAGTCCCAAATATATAGACCTGTAAATAAGTAAAATACTAAATAAAAGTGCTAAATGTACATTTCAAAAGCTTGGAATTCTCAGCACCTAGAAAAAAAATATTCAGCCCTAAATGGGAACTAGACTTTGGCTTTGTCTGAGTCCTGTAAAGGTGCTTGTCACCAAACCCCCAAGATTTTGTGATGTCTCCAATGCTGAGAATGCAGAGGAGTAGGGCTGAGAGATGATTAAAGGGTTGAGACAGCTCAGCTTGCCTCTCTTCTAGAGAACCCCGGCCGGTTGCTGCAGGGAGGCTCACAACTGCCTGTAACTCCAGTTCCAGGGGATCTGACAGCCCACATTACACACACACACACACACACACACACACACACACACACACACACACAGGGGCAAAACACTCGTGCACATGAAATTTAAAACAAATAAAAGGTGAATGTGAATAGCAATGAAAAATCTGCTGGCTGGGCTGCATCTCTGCATTTCTAAATATCATCTCTAGGGGATCCATGTTTTTCCCACTGGTGATCAGTCAGCTTTTCCCTAGTCATCACTAACCCGCCCTTGCCATTATAAAGGAAACTATTCTGGTTTTCTGACCCTTTGTAAGCATTCTGTGTTTGATAAAGTATTGATCTTTAACACCCAAGGACTCAGAATATTGAAGCTTCCTATTTCTTCTCAGCCATAAAAGTGTCCCATTTTCCTTTTAAGAAGATGAGTTGTTTCCCAAAGCTATTTTTTTTGTTGTGGGGGTGTTAATTGTTTTCTGGGCTTAAGTCGTGACAACTGACCTAATTATTGCAGGCCCAACCCTGGGATTGTTTTAGCATGGTTCTGACTCAGCTCCCTTGAGGGACTGACCTAAAATGTCTTTTCTTTTTAAAGCTGGTTTACCACAACAGTTTCCATCCTCTGGGCCTTCGCCTTCAACTCATCCTCCAACCCACAGTCTTCCCTCCAGGTAGCAACCAGGTGAGCCGCGTGCAAAGACACAGCATTGAACGTCTCTGTTAGAACCTTCTTTCTCTCAGGAAAAAAAATGAAGAGGAACACTTAGGCCCTGAGTGAGTGGACCCCTGTTAGGTGTTACGACTAATGCTGAGCTCAAGAAAGCTTGCAGGAAGAAGGGTGGCAACATCCTAAGACAGCCGTCCCTACAGGCTAAGTAGTGTGTCGTATACAAGGCAACGGGTCATTAGTGCTTATGGAGCAACTCAACGGGCCACGGGACTTGGAAGTGTGAATGACAGTCTATTTCTTGTCCTAGGTGTTGGTCACAGTGTTTGCTCTGTGACAGCTCATTGAGTCGTGGTCCTAGGATGTGCAAACCTTCCAGCAGGGTAATTACACAAATGCTGAGGAGAAACCCCAGGCAAGCAAGGGAAGAAACAAGTCTAAAATTGCATCCCCGGGGAAAACAAAACAGAGGTACGGGAAGGAAAGGCTTGTGGGGCCACAAGCAGGTTGGGTTTTATTAGTTGAGTGGAGGCTTTAGGCGTGTTTGTTTTGTTTTTAACGGGAGATTTTAAGAAGGCTGATGCCCACTGTGCTATGGGGATTTATCCGGTGGCTAAGATCAGGGGAGCACAGGGGCTTGGAGACCAGGTTCCTTCGTACTGGGGAGAGCATAAGACGCAGGTGTATAGAAGGTTACACCAGCAGAGCGGGGTGCAAAGGGGGCAACTGAGTCACGGAGGCAGGACGTGGACAGGGCTGTGGTGGGTGAGTGGCATGACAAGCCTTGTCTTCAGGGTGTAGGCCAACGGAGCAGGCAGCAGAGTGACAGGGCTGGTAATGATGACCTTTGCGACCATTTCTAGTCACAGCTCTTTGGGGACTAAATGCAGTGTGGCATGGCACCGCCGTGTGAAGTGCTACGAAGCCCTCTGGCTGTCCCTGCAAATGAAATGGAAATGTGGATTTCTGGAACAGGTGGGTTTAAAATCTAGAAAAAAATTCCATGGGAGAAGTAACCCCAGTTGGAATCCCTGTGCACTCGTGGTATCCCCCAGGCCCCGCCCCCTGGGAAGCATTGCTACTTATTTTTGGTTGTGAGCCTAGCCTTTAACAGCTGAGCCATCTCTCCAGCCCAGCATTGCCACTTATAAACTGTCAAAGAGGTGAACACTGCTCAGCGTTCTCTTTTGCAGACTGTTATTGCTGACATCTTCTCAAATGCTTACTTTCTTAGGGTGCTCCCTAACAGCAGGCTAGCCATGACCTCTGCACATTTCCCCTGCTGGTCTCTTATCTTTTCCGTTTGAATTTGAAGAGTGCTTTGCATGTTAGGGAAATAAGACATTTGACAGTCATATTTACTGGAGGGGGGGGAGTGTGTCTGGGTGGGGATGATTAAACATGAAGACCTAGGCTTCATCGTTACTCTTTTGAAAGAAGCCACCACTTCAGATTTATAAAAAAGGACGTCTGTTTTAAGGGGTTTGGATTTTATTTTTAAATTTCCCAATATCTATCATGTACCAGGGGTTGGCTTTGTTGGGTAAGGTCCAATATAACTTTACTCACGATTTTTTTCCTCCAGTGGCTACCCAGTGACCCCGCTGCCCTTTCTATACCGGCAAGCTAAAATGCTAACTGTGCCCCCTCCTAAAAACTGCTCATGATTCAACTCAAGGGACAGTCCCGTCCGGAAACTGTGGCCCTTCTTCTGCCTAATTACTTCAGCTTTTAGCTTCCCACACTTGCACAAGGCCCTGAACTCTGTGTCCTCACCCACGTAACCGGGGTCTCTCGCTGTGCTTCTGTGTTCTTAATGCACCAAGGTCCTCCTTACACTCCTGCCCGGAGGCAGGTGAGTGACCAGCAAGCCATTAACTGGGGCCCCTTCCCACTCCTTGTGAAAATGGAGAACTACGCCCTGGGAAGATTCTGCTAGTTGTTGGGAATGACTGATCTTTGTAAATAATCTACACCCTTCCCTAAAGAGTTCACACATTCCCCCCTTCCCCCCGTTTATTTCTCCCCTCACTGCCCATGCGTGTTGCTCCACGGTAATGTGACTGAAGCTTCCAGAAAGGTGTTTATCGGAAAGAAGTCATCACAGTCACTGAAACCAGGTCCACGCCTTACCTGTTTGTCTTCTGGAATGTTCACACAAATGGGAATCTGTACTTGGGAGGCCAGCTTGTAGTCACGGTGGATGAGTCCTTTGTGTGTGACCACAGAGAAGCCAGGACACTCACACCGTGTCAGTGGCCCTACACACCCATCCCTGCAGTCTGACTGACTGTCTCAGCCATGAGTCTGCCCTTCCCCACCATCCGCTCCGCCCTCTTCCCCGCCCTTCTTCTTTGCCCTTCCTGCACCCCTCCCCTTCCTGACCCTCCCCTTCCTCACCCCTCCACTTCCTCACCCCTCTTCCTCCATCCTCTCTTCCTCCACCCCTCCCCTTCCTCCATCCCTCCTCTTCCTCTACCCTCTCTTCCTCCACCCACTGCTCCCCCCCCTGCCTGTCATATACACTTTGGTGTCAATATTTTTTAAATGACTTTGTTATTCACTATTTGAGAGTTTTATATCATTCACCCCAATTCCATTCACCTCCCGGTCCCCCCAACCTCCCCCCACCCCTGCCACATCCCCTTATAAGTAAATAAAGTAAGCAAGCAAAAGCAAACGAACAAAAACAAAAAACCATGTCCCATGGTTTCTAGGGACATAGGCAACAGACCTCCACACAGGCCCCGCGGCTGTAGCTGGACCACAGAGCCAGTCATGACCTTGGACAGCAGCTTGGGCCAGGTAGACATCCTTGGCTCTGGGGAAAGGAACTGGCCACTCAGGTGGGAACGATTGCGGCTCTATCCTTGGGCCTCTAAGTGATCTTTGATGGCAGTGCAGGACCTGGACTTCAGCACAGACCCCAGCCATGATAGAACCATGGACCCTGATGTCCTCAACAGTGCCTGGGTCTGGATGTCACCACTGTCCCAGCAGCAGCAGGGCCCTGAGACACCAACATGACCCTGGATCTCTGGTGTCTACATGACCTTGGATGGTAACAGGTACATCAGACATCAGCACAGACCCTGGCTGTCACAGGACCACAGACCGTGACATGGGCCCCAGCTGCATCTCTGGCCCAGACATCACCATGACATTGAGTAGCAGCGCAGGTCACTCAGAGCTGGATGCATCCTGGTCCTCGGTCACCAACCTAGACTCAGGTGACTGATCTTATACTGGACGTCCTCATAGTGCTCCTTGGCAAGAGGAGCCATAGATGTGGCTCCAAGCAGTAGCCCCCGCAACTCAGATCAGGATGACTCTGGTAGCAGTATGGCCTGTGGAGGTGTCAATGTTTTTAATAAAATTTATTATTATTTACATACAGAGGTGAGTGTTTGTGAGAGTGTATGCCATGTGTGCGGGTGCCCACAGAGGTCAGGGGAGGGCTTCTGATATCCTGGAACTGGAGTCAGACAAGCTGATGGAGGAGGGCAGACAGAGGGTGGAGGACAGACAGAAGACGGAGGAGGACAGAGAGAGGGTGGAGGAGGACAGACAGAGGATGGAGGAGGACAGACAGAGGATAGAGGACAGGCAGAGGGTGGAGGAGGACAGAGAGAGGGTGGAGGACAGGCAGATGATGGAGGACAGGCAGAGGGTGGAGGATGACAGAGAGAGGGTGGAGGACAGACAGAGGATGGAGGAGGACAGACAGAGGATGGAGGAGGACAGACAGAGGATGGAGGAGGACAGACAGAGGGTGCAGGACAGGCAGAGGATGGAGGACAGGCAGAGGGTGGAGGAGGACAGACAGAGGGTGGAGGACAGGCAGAGGATGGAGGACAGGCAGAGGGTGGAGGAGGATGAGAGAGAGGGTGGAGGACAGACAGAGGATGGAGGAGGACAGACAGAGGATGGAGGAGGACAGACAGAGGGTGGAGGAGGACAGACAGAGGGTGGAGGACAGGCAGAGGATGGAGGACAGGCAGAGGGTGGAGGAGGAGAGAGAGAGGGTGGAGGACAGACAGAGGATGGAGGAGGACAGACAGAGGATGGAGAGGGACAGACAGAGGATGGAGGAGGACAGACAGAGGGTGGAGGAGGACAGACAGAGGGTGGAGGAGGACAGACAGAGGGTGGAGGACAGACAGAGGGTGGAGGAGGACAGACAGAGGGTGGAGGAGGACAGACAGAGGGTGGAGGACAGACAGAGGGTGGAGGAGGACAGACAGAGGGTGGAGGACAGACAGAGGATGGAGGAGGAAGACAGAGGGTGGAGGAGGACAGACAGAGGATGGAGGAGGACGGACAGAGGGTGGAGGACAGACAGAGGGTGGAGGAGGACAGACAGAGGATGGAGGAGGACAGACAGAGGGTAAAGGAGGACAGACAGAGGGTGGAGGAGGACAGACAGAGGGTGGAGGACAGGCAGAGGGTGGAGGAGGAGAGAGAGAGGGTGGAGGACAGACAGAGGATGGAGGAGGACAGACAGAGGATGGAGGAGGACAAACAGAGAGTGGAGGAGGACAGACAGAGGATGGAGGAGGACAGACAGAGGATGGAGGAGGACAGACAGAGGGTGGAGGTGGACAGACAGAGGGTGGAGTAGGACAGACAGAGTGTGGAGGACAGACAGAGGATGGAGGAGGACAGACAGAGGATGGAGTAGGACAGAAGAGAGGGTGGAGGAGGACAGACAGAGGGTGGAGGAGGACAGACAGAGGGTGGAGGACAGACAGAGGGTGGAGGACAGACAGAGGGTGGAGGAGGACAGACAGAGGGTGGAGGAGGACAGACAGAGGGTGGAGGACAGACAGAGGATGGAGGAGGACAGACAGAGGGTGGAGGAGGACAGACAGAGGATGGAGGAGGACAGACAGAGGGTGGAGGACAGACAGGGGATGGAGGAGGACAGACAGAGGATGGAGGAGGACAAACAGAGAGTGGAGCAGGACAGACAGAGGATGGAGGAGGACAGACAGAGGATGGAGGAGGACAGACAGAGGGTGGAGGTGGACAGACAGAGGGTGGAGTAGGACAGACAGAGTGTGGAGGACAGACAGAGGATGGAGGAGGACAGACAGAGGACGGAGGAGGACAGACAGAGGATGGAGGAGGACAGACAGAGGATGAGGAGGACAGACAGAGGGTGGAGGAGGACAGACAGAGTGTGGAGGAGGACAGACAGAGGGTGGAGGAGAACAGACAGAGGGTAGAGGACAGACAGAGGGTGGAGAAAGACAGACAGAGGATGGAGGAGGACAGACAGAGGATGGAGTAGGACAGAAGAGAGGGTGGAGGAGGACAGACAGAGGATGGAGGAGGACAGACAGAGGGTGGAGGACAGACAGAGGATGGAGGAGGACAGACCGAGGGTGGAGGAGGACAGACAGAGGGTGGAGGAGGAAAGACAGAGGGTGGAGGAGGACAGACAGAGGGTGGAGGACAGACAGATGATGGAGGAGGACAGACAGAGGGTGGAGGAGGACAGACAGAGGGTGGAGTACAGACAGAGGATGGAGGAGGACAGACAGAGGGTGGAGGAGAACAGACAGAGGATGGAGGAGGACAGACAGAGGATGGAGGAGGACAGACAGAGGATGGAGTAGGACAGACAGAGGTTGGAGGAGGACAGACAGAGGGTGGAGGAGGACAGACCGAGGGTGGAGGAGGACAGACAGAGGGTGGAGGAGGACAGACAGAGGATGGAAGAGGACAGACAGAGGATGGAGGAAGACAGACAGAGGGTGGAGGAGGACAGACAGAGGGTGGAGGACAGACAGAGGGTGGAGGAGGACAGACAGAGGGTGGAGGAGAGACAGAGGGTGGAGGAGGACAGACAGAGGGTGGAGGACAGACAGAGGGTGGAGGAGGACAGACAGAGGGTGGAGGAGGACAGACAGAGGATGGAGGAGGACAGACAGAGGATGTAGTAGGACAGACAGAGGGTGGAGGAGGACAGACAGAGGGTGGAGGAGGACAGACAGAGGATGGAGGAGGACAGACAGATGGTGTAGGAGGACAGACAGAGGATGGACTAGGACAGACAGAGGGTGGAGGAGGACAGACAGAGGATGGAGGAGGACACACAGTGGATGGAGGACAGACAGAGTGTGGAAGAGGACAGACAGAGGGTGGAGGAGGACAGACAGAGGGTGGAGGAGGACAGACAGAGGGTGGAGGAGGACAGACAGACGGTGGAGGAGGACAGACAGAGGATGGAGGAGGACAGACAGAGGATCGAGGACAGACAGAGTGTGGAGGAGGACAGACAGAGGGTGGAGGAGGACAGACAGAGGGTGGAGGAGGACAGAGAGACGGTGGAGGAGGACAGACAGAGGGTGGAGGAGGACAGACAGAGGGTGGAGGAGGACAGACAGACGGTGGAGGAGGACAGACAGAGGGTGGAGAACAGACAGAGGGTGGAGGAGGACAGACAGAGGGAGGAGGACAGACAGAGGGTGGAGGAGGACAGACAGAGGGTGGAGGAGGACGGACAGAGGATGGAGGAGGACAAACAGAGAGTGGAGGAGGACAGACAGAGGATGGAGGAGGACAGACAGAGGATGGAGGAGGACAGACAGAGTGTAGAGGAGGACAGACAGAGGGTGGAGGAGGACAGACAGTGGGTGGAGGAGGACAGACAGAGGATATAGTAGGACAGACAGAGGGTGGAGGAGGACAGACAGAGGGTGGAGGAGGACAGACAGAGGATGGAGGAGGACAGACAGTGGATGGAGGACAGACAGAGTGTGGAAGAGGACAGACAGAGGGTGGAGGAGGACTGACAGAGGGTGGAGGAGGACAGACAGACGGTGGAGGAGGACAGACAGACGGTGGAGGAGGACAGACAGAGGATGGAGGAGGACAAACAGAGAGTGGAGGAAGACAGACAGAGGATGGAGGAGGACAGACAGAGGATGGAGGAGGACAGACAGAGTGTAGAGGAGGACAGACAGAGGGTGGAGGAGGACAGACAGTGGGTGGAGGAGGACAGACAGAGGATATAGTAGGACAGACAGAGGGTGGAGGAGGACAGACAGAGGGTGGAGGAGGACAGACAGAGGGTGGAGGAGGACAGACAGTGGATGGAGGACAGACAGAGTGTGGAAGAGGACAGACAGAGGGTGGAGGAGGACAGACAGAGGGTGGAGGAGGACAGACAGACGGTGGAGGAGGACAGACAGACGGTGGAGGAGGACAGACAGAGGATGGAGGAGGACAGACAGAGGATGGAGGACAGACAGAGTGTGGAAGAGGACAGACAGAGGGTGGAGGAGGACAGACAGAGGGTGGAGGAGGACAGACAGTCGGTGGAGGAGGACAGACAGAGGGTGGAGCAGGACAGACAGAGGGTGGAGGAGGACAGACAGAGGGTGGAGGAG